AAGGAACGCCCTTCCTACTGTGCAGTCTGGGGCAGGGAGCTGTCCTTAAGGTTCCTTGGGCGGGTCGGGTTCATGCGAAATGCAGGGTTTTTGGCTTCGAAACTACAGCCAACAGGTTCCTTTGTCGCTCCTTGCCCATTCCATTTGCTTATGGCACCGCCCAACCACACCCCTCCTTTGTCGCTCCTTGCCATTGATTTTGCGTGTGTTTTGCACATTAATGGGCTCTCAGGCCTTTCGGCCACTTCTTGGGCCCATCTTGGGGGGTGGGGCAAACAAGTCCTGTTTGCCCCGCCCCCCCAAGATAGGCCCAAGAAGTGGCCGAAAGGCCTGGACTTGTTTGCCACTTTGTTTGCCCCACCCCTGTGGAAGTCGGAAGGCCTGGACTTGTTTGCCCCACCCCCCAAGAAGGGCCCAAGAAGTGGCCGAAAGGCCTGGACTTGTTTGCCCCGCCCCCCGAAGTGGCCGAAAGGCCTGGACTTGTTTGCCCCGCCCCCCAAGATGGACCCAAGAAGTGGCCGAAAGGCCTAGAGCCCATTAATGTGCAAAACGCACGCTAGGGTTTATAAAGCAAAAACAAGCCTGCCCTAGATTCGGGTCATAGAGCAGCATGTGGGACCTTACAGCCCTGCTATGGGGAAAAACAGAAACAGGCCTGCCCGGGCCATAGAACCTTTTCGCAGAGCAAGCAGACCTGGGACCTTACAGTCCTACTATGGGGGTAAAAATACAAGCAGGCCTGTTAATTTGGGCTGTAAAGGTGCGTCTTGCAGGGGTGTGGTTGGGCGGTGCCATAAGCAAATGGAATGGGCACAGGCCTTTCGGCCACTTCTTGGGTCCATCTTGGACAAGTCCAGGCCTTTCGGCCACTTCTTGGGCCCACCTTGGGGGGCGGGGCAAACAAGTCCAGGCCTTTCCGGCCACTTCTTAGGCCCATCTTGGGGCGCGGAGAAAACATGTGAAAGGATGACCGTTACAAGTCAAGCGCACAAGACAATGGCTGCTGGGTTTCAAGTTATCCCCTATACTAGGGCAGGGCTGCAAGGTCCCAGGTCTGCGCCCGAATCTGGGTTTCAAGTTACGGCGCGGTTTCCAACAGCCTTTTGTGTCTCGGAAGGACGGGAGACCACTAGCAAGTGCCCCGGGACGATGAGGGAGATTCAGAGGGCTTCCGCAAGGGTTCCTTGGAATTCGTTTTGGGGTAATATTATACTATTCTCCCACCGCACTTTCCAAGGAACGCCCTTCCTATCCTTAAGGTTCCTTGGGCGGGTCGGGTTCATGCGAAATGCAGGGTTTTTGGCTTCGAAACTACAGCCAACAGGTTCCTTTCTCGCTCCTTGCCCATTCCCTTTGCTTATGGCACCGCCCAACCACACCCCTCCTTTGTTGCTCCTTGCCATTGAAGTTGTCACCCCCCAAGATGGGCCCAAGAAGTGGCCGAAAGGCCTGGACTTGTTTGCCCCACCCCCCAAGAAGGGCCCCAAGAAGTGGCCGAAAGGCCTGGACTTGTTTGCCCCGCCCCCCAAGGTGGGCCCAAGAAGTGGCCGAAAGGCCTGGACTTGTTTGCCCTCCCCCCAAAAAAGGCCCAAGAAGTGGCCGAAAGGCCTGGACGATGGACCCAAGAAGTGGCCGAAAGGCCTAGAGCCCATTAATGTGCACAACACACGCTAGGGTTTATAAAGCAAAAACAAGCCTGCCCTAGTATAGGGGATAACTTGAAACCCAGATTCGGGTCATAGAACCTTTTCGCATGGCAAGCAGATGTGGGACCTTACAGCCCTGCTATGGGGAAAAACAGAAACAGGCCTGCCCGGGCCATAGAACCTTTTCGCAGAGCAAGCAGACCTGGGACCTTACAGTCCTACTATGGGGGTAAAAATACAAGCAGGCCTGTTAATTTGGGCTGTAAAGGTGCGTCTTGCAGGGGTCTGGTTGGGCGGTCATAAGCAAATGGAATGGGCACAGGCCTTTCGGCCACTTCTTGGGTCCATCTTGGACAAGTCCAGGCCTTTCGGCCACTTCTTGGGCCCACCTTGGGGGGCGGGGCAAACAAGTCCAGGCCTTTCGGCCACTTTTTGGGTTATATTGGGGGGCGGGGCAAACAAGTCCAGGCCTTTCCGGCCACTTCTTAGGCCCATCTTGGGGGGCGGGGAAAACAAGTCCAGGCCTTTCCGCCACTTCTTGGGCCCTTTTTGGGGGGCGGGGCAAACAAGTCCAGGCCTTTCGGCCACTTCTTGGGTCCATCTTGGGGGCAAAGAAGTCCAGGCCTGTCGGCCACTTCTTGGGCCTTTTTTGGGAGGAGGGCAAACAAGTCCAGGCCTTTCGGCCACTTCGGGGGGCGGGGCAAACAAGTCCAGGCCTTTCGGCCACTTCTTGGGCCCTTTTTGGGGGGTGGGGCAAACAAGTCCAGGCCTTCCGGCCACTTCTTGGGGGGCGGGGCAAACAAGTCCACAGGCCTGTCGGCCACTTCGGGGGGCGGGGCAAACAAGTCCAAATAGCTCGTGCTAAGTAAGTTGAGATGTTTGTCTTTTCGTGGGACTCATATTTTTGATCATGACGCGGGCTATTTGGTCAGTGCAGCTCTGACCAGATAGCTCGCGCCAGGAACCTTCGGTCTTTTCGCACAAAAAAGAAGCTCTGACCAATAGCTCGCGCGAAGTAGATGGAGATGTTTATCCCTTCGTGGGACTCATATGCTTTGACCATGACGCGAGCTGGTCAGCGCAGCTCTGACCAAACCATCGAGATTGAAACGAAATTGAAAGACGGACTTCTACCGGCCATGTCCCAGAAGGGCATGCTTTCGAAACAAAAAATTGCCATGTGGGGCTATCCGGTCCTTCAGTTGTTGTTGGGTTTCGGGATTGGGGTGATGGTTCTGGGTTTCGGGTTTCTGGATGTTCGGCTTCTGTGGCGGAAGTGCTTGCGTGGATGTGGGGTTGCCGGGAGTCCCAAATTTTAAGGGCTCTGTCACTTTGCAGATTTGTCGCGCAGCACCCATCACTGAAGCCTCGCGACGCGCAACTTGGGCCCGGCTGCTTGTGGCTTTGCGGCGGGTCCCAAGCCATGGAGCTCCATGGCAGTATGAGGGAAACTGTAAGTGGTGTTGCAAAGAGGTTCCCAAAATTCGGGTGCTATTTGAGTACGCTCGGTCCCCAAAACTCAAAAAGCATCACGAGAGCTCTTGGGTGGCTATTCAAGGCTTTTCCCAACTCTGCTTGCTCTTCAACATGTTTCAAACTCAAAGAGCTGTTGTGGCCCGAGCTATTTGGTCAAGTTCAACGAACTGCTTTGCCGAGAGCTACTTGGTCAGGTTCAAAGAGCTGTTTTGGCGCGAGCTGTTTGGCCTACGAACAAATAGTGCCGACGCTAGAACATGATGTGCACGGGCCCTCACCCACGAACCCTAAGGCCCTAAGACCTAAGGCGTTTATGGCTTCATGCTCCTCAGGAAGATCCCCCCCGCCGGCCCCCCTCTTTTCCCGAGCAGCAGCAGAGCCCTGCGCAGTGCGCTGGGCCGGCGTGCTCCCCGTCCTTGCCATGGTGCCCAAGCAAAAAGAAAGGGAGCAGGCTTGAGCAATGAGACTGTGGCAAGCAACGCTGATCAGACAAGCCCTTCTTATTTGGCTAAGCCCAGAAGCCCTCAATGGTCTCAACTTCAAAGGATATCAAGACCTGCGGAGTCCTGCGGCTGGCGCAGGATGCGGGATCCCAAAATGTAAAAAACAAGCCCTCTCAAACCCTCTCAAACTTCTCAAACCGTTTGCAGACTTCATCGAGGCTAGCGGCTAGAGAGAGAGAGCGGCGAAAGCAGCTGTACGCAAGGGCGCGCACTGCACGCTGCGCTGCAGACAAATTCTGAATACTCCAATGCACCGGGATGACTTCTTATGCTCTGCGCTCACGAGTCTCGGCTTGAGCTTCACTGATTCAGATTCACCACCAGGAAAGCGTTCCAGCTCCATGGTGGTCAGGAAAAAGTGGGATGACGGGAATTCAGTGCAGTGGCCCAAACGACCAATTTTCAAAGCTGAGGCACAACCGGACTTGCTGCCCAACCCGCGGCTCATGAACAAGCTTCGTTGCAACACAATCAGAATGGGTTGGGCAGAAGAGTGCTTCACACGCTGCCCGCTCATTCAGCGACAGCAGTAGTTCCATGCTGCCCAGAGCTCCCATGCAAAGTCCAAGAAACAAACATGCACAATAAAGCACAAACACGATACACACTCAAGTTAAACACAATCAACTCACAATGTCCATGACTCGCCCTGTGAACCTTTGAACTCATTTGAAGTCACGACTCGGAAGTTCTTAGAGAAAGGCAAGGAGTCCGAGCTGTTCAGGCCAGCCTAGGCTGGCTCCTAAATAAGTGGGCTCCCTTCAGGAGTGTCTGCAGCAACTGCTGCAGGCAGTGCGGCAATGCCCAACAATCACAACAGCATGACCACATCTAACATATTTAACATTCAGACAAATGCTCTCTTCTGCAAATTCGACTCCACGTACATCTGAGGCGCTGTGGGACACCCCCAAAGCCAAGCTTTGGAGAGTTTGTGGGGTCTGAGTGGGGGGGACTGATTTAACTGACACTAACTATGAACTGACAACTTACGGCCCGAGGTGTTCGGAAGTCTGTGGAAGCCTTGGTGGGGACATTCCGGACAACCTGGTAACCGCTCACAGTCTCACGCTGCCAAAATCAAATGCGAGAGACTGCTCTGCCTTATGCTGCCCATGCCAATCCCACAGGATCCCTTGCCAGGACTTCGCAGCGCTTTAGGACATGTGCATGCATTGTGTAACAGTATATTAGACATGTACCACGTCAAGGATCACATATTCAAATTTCAAGATGATTGTCAAGCATGATTGGAGCACAGAGCCTGAGAAGCCTTAGGCTCCCGGGACTCTGCAGGCCGTGCGAGGAAGACGAGGTGGATGAGCCGACGGTCACCACCACAAACGGCCCCGAGATCTAGGAACATCGGAGAAGATCAGATCCACAAAGTTTGGGTTGGCGCATCATCGCGGGCAAGGGGCACTGGTTCACTTCTCTCCGTGTGCTCTGCTTGGTGCTCTGCTTTGGTTGGGCTTGGTGGTTCTGTCGCTTTGACTCGGTTGGAGGTCTGGGAGGTCTGCGAGGCCTTGCGCCCGAGGTCGGCAGAAGACACAGATCGGCGGGAGCTCCTCGACATCATCGCGACACGGTTTGCAAGCATGAGCTCTGCTTCACCAGCCTCTGCTCCGACAGCTGTCATTACGGCACTTGTCATCCGCAGGTCGTAGATGGAAAGGCTCTCCAGCACTTTCACCATCTCTGTGCTTGGGAGGTCCTTGATCACGTTGCCGAAGGTGGAGAGCTTCTTGGCCAAGACTTGGGGATCTGGGACCTTGCCCAGCGCCAGGACCCTCGACTCCTGGGCACTTCCCACAGCATGGCGATAGTAGATGGATGCAGTGGTCACGCTGATCATGCACAGGACCACCACTTGCAGCAGCACCATGATGCCGATGGAGAGGCTTGTGAGGACTTCGAGCATCTCCGGTGGAAGGTCGGGTGTGAAGGCGCCCATGCACACCATCATCATGACCAGGGACACGCTGATCACGCAGTCAAAGAGGTTCAAAGCAGGAAGCTTCCATGGCCAGGTCATGAGCTGCACAACCAGGTAGACTTGCAAGATCGCCACGATGAGGATCATCTGTATGAAGGGATAATCTGCAGCCAAGACGATGGACAAAGAGAGGGCCAAACCTCTCGGGAGTAGAGCGGTTCCATACCACCACACATCGACGCGGAAGCGGGCGATCAGAAACCGGACGGCCGTGAGGAAGGTGGCGTTGCTCTCTTTGGCGGCCCGGGGGGCGCGCGCCGTGCCCCAGATGGCCAAACTGTAGAATCCGATCAGAGCACAAAGCAACGAAACGCCCATCACAAACATCGTGGTGTGCTCAGGGCTCTCGAAGCAGAAGATGCCATTGTGACTGAGCATGCCGTGCTTCCCGTTCGGGTGAGCATAGCACATCATGGGCTGTAGCGCAATCTTGCTGGCAATGGTGAAAGCCACCTGAACCACCTGCCCCATGGTGCTGATGGTCTTCGGCCACTGGAACTGAAAGCGAAATGGAGCGCACTTTCTGCTGATCGCATGGGCCGTCAGGAGCCAGAGCAGCGCCACCGGCAAGGCGACGGCGCTGTACGCGTAGCGCCGGGTCGGGTCGCCGGCCACGCAGTCGAAACCCATGGAGTCGATGTCCAAGAGAAAGAAGTTCATCGCGTCAAAGACCCAGGCCAACTCCTGTGGCCACTCGAAGGAGATCCTTTGTTGCTTGATTTCTTGAAAAGCAAGAGCAGGAAGTGTCTGTCACTTCACCAATATTGTTGTTAAGGGTGATGAGGGCGATAAACACAGTGGCGAGTTGTAGTTGAAAGATTGAGGGGGGGCTGGGGCTTTTCTCAAACCTTCTCAACTCCCCAGGGTCAATCCAACGATTCCGACAGATTGGAGCATGCTGATAGTCATCCCCAGCACACACGTCGTGGCCAACATCGCGCTCGCCCGTGTGGTTGTTGGTGAGTTGATCAAGTAGTACATCGCCACAAGGAAAGACATGCCGACGATAGCTGCGACTACCCAGCCCGCGAAACTTCCACCCGCACATGGCTCGCAAAGGTTCTTGTTGTTCAGGGACGTCCCTTCAGGGCACTGCGTACATGGCACGCCGACCCGGCCACCAGCGCAGGCTCCTGGAACTTTTCCTGGGCATTTGTCCGAGGGCAGACACTTGTAAATGTCATAGGGTTCTGACAAAGTGGCATAGAAACCTGGCAAAATCACCGGCTCCTCTCCCTCCTCGCATTCAAGCCCAGATTGGCATAAGACACATGCACCCAGCTCAAAGCGAGTGCCATCCCCGCAACGAAAACATTCGCCATTCCACAGCTCACCATTGCAGGTGCAGGCTGCGGCATCCAAAGCACCCTCGTAGTTGGTGGTCCGTCCAGCGGGGCATTCCCGGCACTCTGTCAGGCCACTCTCTTCGGCATAAAAGCCAGCCTTGCACTTCAAGCACTTGGACATACCAGACTGGTTCACGAAGAAACCTTGCTGGCACAAAGTACAGGAAGCCGCAGCCCGCTCTTGGCTTATGCTGCCAGCTGGACACGGGTAGCACTCAGCCAGGCCGCTCACATTGCTGAAGAAACCGGTGCTGCAAGGATCACACTGGGTTGAGCCTAAAGCAGCAAAGCGCCCAACAGCGCAGTCTTCGCAGCCAAGGTCATTGAACCAAATGGTTCCAGCCGGGCACTCGCTACTCCGATCTGCTGGAAGAAAGGCGGTGGACATGTCGCAAGTCCCGCTGCTGCAGTTCATGCTCTTGCTACTGTCCGTTGGGCTCCAGGTGACGTCTCGAAGCCATTCAATTCCTTCCGGGGTCCAAATGCCCAGGCGCTCGAAGGGCTGCAAAGCAGTTTTTGCAACTTGTAGCATAAGGATGGCGCCTTCTCTGTCTCCAAATGATGGCGGCGCCGGCGGAGTGGTTCTGGGATCTACACCGTTGAAGAGACGAACCCTTCCGGTGCTTCCCATGTAGTCCTGCTGAAGAGTGATGTCGTACAACTTGTCGCGGGAGAAGTCGGTGTTGAGCTCGTCGTAAGACCTGTTTTGGTCAATGAGGAAGCTATGGAAAACTGATGCGATTTGCCAAAGCCCATCATAAACATAGCCCATGGCTTCCCAGGAGATCCCCGTCCCATTGCCAAAGGCCGCTGTCTCCGCGTAGTAGTCTCTTGTGATGTCTGCGAATCTTCGCCCCGAAAGCCCGTGCACACCATTCGTTTCCGTCAGGGGGCTGTAAGTAAATCCTATGAGTCCCCAGGCTGCATGGAGGACTTCTTCTGCGGCACAGGGGCACGCAGGGCTGCCAGCTGCGGCATTAATGAAGTTCGGGTTCCACCAGCCGTTCAGCAGCAACCAATTGTAGTCTGGCGCAAACATGCCGCTCCTGTAGGCTTGGCAGAGAATCATGGCCCCATGGTCCTCGTACGAAGCCAGCACACTCCATTTGGCATCGCGCTGGCGCCTCAAATCCATGACTGTAGAAGCCGAGCTGAGGTCAGTCAGGACTGCTTCAAAGAGCACCGTCCAAGTGTAGGTGCCTCTTTAGGGGTTTCTGCAGATTTTGATGTGGGCTTATGGCATATATAGCATGCCCCATGCAATGTTTCACAATGTATCCAGCAAAAAAAAGTCGAAGACATTAGCTCATTTGTTTTCTGCGAGGTGCCCTCTTCCTTGTCACGCTGCACGGCCTCCCGAAAGAGGTCCCTGAGTCCGACGAAGATGGCGGCCGTGCCATGCACGAAACCAACTCTTTGAACCTGAAAGGTTTTGAGCACCTGCGCAGCTGCCATGACAGTGATGCGGTAGGAGGGCGCCATGCGGCTGAAGTATGGATAGCGATCACGATCGCTGAGGTCCACAGAGATGGAAAAGGGAGAGACCTGCATGATCTTGTAGTGGTACAAGGCATGATTCACCGGTTGACTCGATGCGGAGCAGTCACAGCCGAGTACAATATGCTTCTGCGGAAAAGTGTTCATGGACTCAATGGCTCGATGGACTGCTATCTGTCCAGAGCAGGCCTCGTCCACCATGTGGAGTTTGAGCCGATACCCAGGCAGCATGCTGCTGTCCTCGATCTCTTGAGTGGCAGCCAAGAGGAGTGGCTCGGCCATCGTAGCGGTGTTTCCGATGGGCCCCGTGTACGGTAACATGACGAGGACATTCAGATCCCGCGTGGCATTGCGTGCGGGGTTTGGCGTGGGATGAATCTCGCAATTGTTCGAGTAGTACCGGCACGGATAGCTCTTTCCGTCCCTCGTGGCTCCCGAGCACATCTCCGGACAGAGCAGCGCTTCTGCGGGGAGAGCCAGCACAGCCAGTGCCACCACCAGCCACGGAGCCCGAGCGAAACATCTAACTAGTCTACCTGCCATGGCTGCCATGTCAAGCTGGCCTGAGAGGGGCGCCTCTGAGCCCAAAAAATGTTCTCCAGAAACTTAACGAAACTTGAGGGGGGAACGGATCGACAACACCCCCAACAGTTGTCAACACTCAAATCTGAGGATGCCAAGCCTGCTGGTACGCTGCAAGTTCCGTTCTCGACCAATGCTACAGCCAGCTCAATGCTACAGCGGAGATGCTGATGATATTCCTCTAGCCACCACTAAAGTGATGACACTTCCCTCACAGGTAGCTGCGCACAGGAGCGGAGAGAGGGAGGGAGAGACTTTTCAACCTTGATTTGAGTTCGACCGGCATCACATTGGCATCAACATGTCCCAGGCGCGGCCACGGAGCCACTCGACGCAACCGTTTCACCCAGCAGCGCACACAGTCGGACGCACAGTCGGAAACACGGACACACAGTCGGACACACACACACACACACACACACACACACACACACACACACACACACACACACACACACACACACACACACACACACACACACACACAAACACACACACACACACACACACACACACACACACACACACACACACACACAAACAAACACACACACACACACACACACACACACACACACACACACACACACACACACACACACACACACACACACACACACACACACACACACACACACACACACACACACACACACACACACACACACCACCACCACACACACACACACACACACACACACACACACACACACACACACACACACACACACAACACACACACACACACACACACACACACACACACACACACACACACACACACACACACACACACACACACACACACACACACACACACACACACACACGCACACACACACGCACCCGCACACACGCACACACGCACAACACACACACACGCACCCACACGCACGCACACGCACACACGCACACACACGCACACGCACGCACACACACGCACACACACACGCACACACACCACGCACACTACACACACGCACACACACGACACACACGCACACACACACGCACACACGCGACCCACGCGCACCCACGCCACACGCGCACAAACGCGCACGCACGCGCACGCACGCGCACGCGCACACGCACGCGCACGCGCGCACGCGCGCCGCACGCGCACGCACGCGCACGCACGCGCACGCGCACGCACGCGCACGCACCCGCACGCACCCGCACGCACACGCACGCACACGCACGCACACGCACACGCACGCACAGGCGAACGGGCGCCTGCACGCAGACGCAGACGCACCCGTGCCACGTGGACGGGCCGGTACCCCGTCATCCGTGGGCTCAGTTCGCATGTCCTTCGCAGAACTCGGCCCCACCAGCGCGAGGTCCCCCTTGGGCTCCACATTGGTTCCATTGGTTCCCCTGCACCTTCACAGCCTCGTCCCCGGTCCACTAAGAGCGACTCACAGCAAAAACGAACTCAAGGAGTGACGGAATCAGCTGATCAGCTGCGGGGCCGTTACGTCTGAGCCATGCGTGGCTTCTGGCGCGACCCATGCAATCGATTCCACCCTCGGGCTTAGAGCACGCACTGCATTTTCGCTCGCTGATTTTGCGAAATTGACGCATTCAATGGGTGTCACGCTGGGCTTCGCAGTTTGGTGTGCTGAGCGTTTTGGTTTTGGGGTGCCCTGCTGTGCCTCGCACGTTTAAGCACGCCGCTGTCAGCTGCGCATTTCTGCAAAACACTTGCGTTGCAACGGGTTGGAGAAGCGATGGATTTTATGGTGCATTACCGCAAGCGCCCTTCTTGTGCTCACAGCCCTGCCTGAGCTTTCAGAACGCTCACCAGTAGAAGATGCCAGAATGCAGTCGTGCAATCAGGGCCCTTTTCATGTTCTGTGCGAGTCGATGCGCCCAACTAAAACTCTCACTCCTGGAAGCTGCGAGATGCTGCGAGATGCTGCGAGATGCTGCGAGATGCTGCGGAGCGAAGCGGCGAATCGTCAAGTTGCCGTCCTCGACATCTTTGCCGTCACCGTTGTGATATCAGAGGCCGCACGGCGACTTCGCCGAGCTCGCGCCTGCACGTTAACTCGACGCCAAAACGCAAACAGAAAGAACAATTAAAGGCCCTCGAGGACAAAACAGCACCAGGGGACCACGTCAAACGTGCATACATGCTCATAAGCACCCCTTGGCGCCGGCAAGCGCATGCGTGCCCTTGCAGAACTCCTCGAGAGAACACCTACCCTACCCCTCCCTCCTTTTGCACTCTGAACTTGCTTTGGCGCTGCTCTCTGTCTCTCGCTGTGCTGCGATCGTTTTGAGCGCTCTGCTTGTTTTCGAGATTTTCCGAGGCACTGGTCGGTCTGGAGGAGGTAGTGCCGCGCAATGTTCACCAAAAACAGCGCGCCAGCCAATGCGGCCACACCAACCTGGGTGGAATCGGGGTGCTGCTGAGTCAAGCGCTTGAAAATGCAACTACGCACCCGTGACATTTTGTGAACGGTTTCATCATCAATTGTGCATCCTTTCATCCTTTTCTCCCAGCACTAGAGGAGCTGAGCCTCCTCTTCCACTCACAAGGATAAATCGGTACCTCTGCAGCGATATGCCACTTCTGCCCTCCTTTCTGCAATCTTACATTGGTGCTGATACTCTTTCAAAGTCTTGAACCGTGGATGAATCTGAAGCTGGAGCTGTCACACTATTGACTGGGGCTCCCGGTGCGTCTTCTGCGCAAGTGACTTCACTCCGACCGGCAACTCCAACTTCTTCACTCACACTTAATCACTTAATCGTTTCATGCAGAATTCCGATACTTCACCAGATTCCCGAAAACTGCTTGCTCGGTGTGCTGGGTGGATGTTGGGATAGGAGTCCAATGAGTGCCGCTCTATGGAATCACCGAGGCCTCTTGTACCGAATCATGCCGAACATCCAACATTTATTGGCCTACTGTACGATACTGTACTAAGTTACTGCGAGTTGGAGCCGAGATGCGACCAGGGACATGGCAAAAGCTCCTGCAGAGGTTTGCGGCTGCGCTGTGATTCTTGCAAGTCCATAAACACCCAAGCTGAAATATTTCGCAACACACCTGCAACACACGGGCGGCTTCATACAGGCGCTTCACTCCACCCCTGTACTCCCTGTACTAGCCCTGCACACTTCATCGCACTTCTCTACTTCTCAAAAAGCTTGGCGATCGAAAATCACGGCCGCGGCGCCGCAAATCACCAGCCCACCCAAAGCGCTGCAGACCTCCAAGGAAACACGCTTTGAGAACTTTGAGAGCTCCCAACCGCCTTTTTCCTCTCTCTCGCTCTCTCACCCTCACCCTCACACTCGCTCACTTTCTCTCCCCTTCTCAATGAATCTCTAAATCAAGCGCCGAGGCGGACATTGTAAGGCCGAGCCACGAGCGCAGCAAGGCAGTGCTCACCACCTCGGTGAGAGAGAATTCTTCGGTGAGAACCGGTGAGACCTTTTGGGAATTGAAAGAATTGAAACTTCAAAGAAGTTGTTTGCTTCGATCACTCCCAGCTGACGTGGGAGCCATCCTGCCGCTTCAGGGATGCTTCGCCGCAGGCTTCGTTGCAGGACTGCCACAGGACTGCCACTCCACGGATACTAAGAGGCAACGCGAATGGTTGACCTAGAACTGACCGAAGGTGCGGAATTGAAGAATGAGAAGACAGCAATGACAGTGAACAGGTCAAGTCTGTAGCAATGTTTGTGTGTGTGCTTGTTTCGACTCGACTGTCTGTCTGCCTGCAGCATCAACGACACGTCCGTTTAGCGCCGTTTTGGCGTTTATCCTGGTTTCATCTAATCTCCATCTTCGTCTTTTGCTCTGTTTTTTTCTTGGAACTTGATTCGATCCATATTCAAGCTTGAGCTTTCGGACGAGATGAAGTGGTCATGCGTGGTCTCCATACGACCCTCGGGCGACTCGAGGAGAAGCACAAAATCTGCTCTCCACACTGTCAGGTTCAATACAAACTGCTACCAGCGCACTCGCGGTAGTTGTCATGTCACCGTCATGTCACGCCATCACGTGCGGAGTCCCTGCCTTGTCGGGAAAGCTTGAAGTCACGACACGTCGTGGGAAGTCGAGGCAGGAGCACAGTCTCGAAGCGAGTTCCCGAATGCGCACGCGTCTCGCGGCACATTCTTGCAAACAATTACGTTTCTAGGATTTCTGTTGTCACGCGCAGGGCGCAGGGTTTTGGTAGCGAATGATGTCTGGATTCAACACTGACGGCCGCAGACTGGCAGACTGAGGGTGGCACCAGCAGCTCCGCTTTGCTTCAGGCAACCGTTGAGGTTAGCCAAGCCGGCAATGAAGAACGTTCCAGCGACCACAAGACCTAGCGCAGATCTCACAATTCATCGCTCTCCGACAAGCAAATTCGTCGGATCATGAGATTTTCTCATTGAGCTCGACATGCTCGACATGCATGCAGTGTGTGCTGAAGATGTTGAGAAGAGGCCTTTAAACTAGCTTGGACACCCCGACTGGCGAAACTCGCATCTCTCGCACGGGAGAAATAGTGCGCTGTCTCGGGGAAGAGGCAAGGGAAGACTGTTGGTCTTTTGGTCTTTTGGCCCTTTTGAGATCTTTTGGTCCTTTGAGGTCTTTGGAGATCTTTTGAGTCCCGGCTCTTTGAGGGCCAGACACACCAGGCCGACGATGATGGAGGCGATGATGACGAACTTCTGATGGACCTCACAGATAGTCTCACACTCATATTTCTAGACTTAAATATTTCTCGTTGACGGCCCCGAGCACCAAAAAAAAACAGGCACCTCCAAGTCTGCGCCCACGCCGAGGCCAAGAAGGCTTTGCCCCGCAAGGCCCTCAGAGCCCTCGACGCCCTCGAAGCCCTCTACGATTCCCTCTGCTTTCGCTCCTTCAACTTCCGCTCCTTCCGCTGCTTTGGCGGCTGCCACCGCCGATTGCAGAGCGGTGCCTGTCACCGAGTCTTTCGACTCTCTTGGAGCACTTTGCGAGTCTCCTGCATCTCCCGCATTTCCCTCCTGAGAGCCTCTGCTTTCAGAAGTGCCGAAGGAAGCAGCACCGCCAGCACCGCCAGCACCGCCAGCTCCGAAGAGGCGCAGAGCACTGGCGAGGCGCCGGGACCGGAGCTCCCCGAAGCTGTTTGAGGCGCCTTTGCTCGAAGAGGTGCCCTTCTCGAGCACCCTCTCTCCTCCGCAGCACGCAACACAAGGCACAATACTGACGATACCATGTCCGACTCACCACGTGCACCCCTTTGCACCCCCCCCCCCCCCCCCCCCCCCCCCCCCCCCCCCCCCCCCCCCCCCCCCCCCCCCCCCCCCCCCGGCCCCCCCCACCTTCTGAAGCATCTTGTGCGAGATGCTCCACATCCATGTTCTCCGCGCCCGCCAGGAACTCTTGGCAATGCGTTGGCAGGCCCAGCCTCGTGGACCGAAGGTCATCAACATTGTAGCCAGGCACTTTCAAGAAGTAATTCCTTCGTGCTCAGAGCATATGTCGAGCATATGCCGCAGCCAATCACCCATGCAATACATGAGCATCGCTCTTTACATGTCGCTACCGACAGTTCCGAGCGTCACAAATGTGGAGACCTGGGCTTTCTCCTCGGCGGTGTCGTCCTTAAGCACGCATTTCTCTTCGGACTCGCTTTTGGCGTAGATCATGAGCACCGATGGCCGCTTCACCAGGAAAGACACCAGCTCGCTGTGCCTTTCAGTAGATGGGATTTTTGGCTCCCCCGTCTCCCCTTCTCTATCTTCTCTCATTCGCTTCTCTGATTCATGGCCTCTCCCTTTCTCCCCTTCTCTTATTTCTCTTATTTTTCTCTTTCTGAGTCGGGGCGGCAGCTTGGCGGCCACGGAGAGGCGCCGGGATGCACGCAGCGCAGGCACCGGTGCCGAGGCCGCCGCCCGGTACTCCGACACCGTCAGCCGGTCCTCCCGGTCCCCGCGGTCCCCGCGGTCCCCTCTCTCTTTCTTTCCTCTCTCCCTCTCCCTCTCAGTCGAGTTTTGAGAAGGGAAAGCTCTCGTGCGTTCAGCACTGTCTCGAAGAATTCTGTTCAGGAAGAAAGCTGTTTGAGTTTGAGTTTTCACGTTGTTTGTTCTTCTCCTCACTTTACTCAACCTCTTCTCGGCCGCCAGGTCACCGGGCGGCGGCGCCAGTGCTTCAGGTCCGTGGCCGCCGCGCGCCTCGCAGCCAAGCGGAAGTCCCCACTTTCCTCCCCCAGGCGCATCGGCAGCGTTTCGAGGACGTTGAGGAGGTCGGCGGCCTCCAGCCACAAGGCGACCGAAGTCTTTAAGGAGCTCCGACCGGAGCTGGACCAGGAAACCGCTTCGCTTTGGAGCAGGCGCTCGGAAACGTTCAAGGCCATTTCCTTCAAGTTCCCTAAACCCATCTCGCCCGCCAGTACCATGTCAGCTTCTTCATGGCTGTCAGCGCCCACTGCCCGGCATTTTTGTTGTTGCCCAAAGGGTGCCAGCACATCTGGCACGTCATCAGCTCCAACCTGACGTGAGGGCAGGTGCACTAGCAGCAAGACTGAAGCATGTGTATTCACTGTGTAGTCTCAATATAACAAGAGCACTCTCGAAGGGCTCATCTATGCTTCTCTTCTCTCAACCAGCCTTCCGGCAGAAACCCGTCGGTCCACAAACATCGCGCTCCGAGTCGTAGAAGCAGCGGAAGGCACACTTGCTGGGACTGCCCAGGCACGAGGTCTCTCCTAACATGCCATCCACCATGCCCATCAATTCTCTGTCGGGGCGTGTGAAAACTCCTGCCGCGTACCCTGGCATGTAGAACTCAAGCTCCTCATGCTCTGGGAGGCGCTGTGTAACGTCGTCCTGATCGATGAACTTCATCTTGCCATTCTCATTAATGTAGTACATCTGAACTTCGTCGTCGCTTTTGTCCTTCGCTTTGGTTCGATAAACTTTGAGGCCGGCCAACCGCCCCCAAAAACTCGATGTCGTCACTCCAACTGAGGGGTTCATCTCGGTGCGGAAAAATATCGCTCGCTTCTTGGCGTATTCACTTGACCCCCAAGTGTGCGAACTTTTGTCGTATGCTTGCCAGCCCACGACAGCCATCACCGCCATGCCGTCAATCTGCTGATTGAGGACCACCGCATCTGGCATGATTCGATACAATGTGTCCAAGCCTGCTACCTCCACATATCTTGTCACAACTCTCTGGCGCCCCCCTCCATTTCTCTCTCCCGAGAAACGGAAGGTGATGTTGGCCTCCGCCCATCGCAGAGAGTCCCTTAGTCTCAGAGTCTTCGAGATCCTTTCACTCGAGAGTCCTCTAGAGATTTCTCATGATTTCTCGAGCCTTAGCATTTACACATGTTTACTAATGGGCTCTTGCCATGCGGCTCCTCCCCGATGGCCCACATGGTTCGTATGGAAAACTCTCCAGACTCTGCGACCTCAGATTCTCTGACAACTTTTCTGAGAGCTGCAGATGGCATTATGCCATAAGCATGCATCATGCATTAGCAAGATAAAAAAAAAAAAAGTGAGAGCGAACCTCACTGGGGGAGAACTGTCGTGACGTGGTCGTGCCAGGCCACGGCAGAGCGCCACTCTCGCTGGGCGCCCGCGGCTTTGAGCTGGCTGCCGACGTGGGCCGCCAACTCCAAGCAAAAAAGCAGGAGGAGGCAACAAAAAACGAAGAGAAGAGCAGCTTTTGGAACTCAAAGAGGACTTTTAGCCATTTTAGCCTCATATTCTTCTTCCTCAAAAGAGAAAGACCTAAGAGAGATGAGGGGGTTGGGGGGGGGGTCTCTCAAAGGGCGCCTGCTGCGCTTGGAAGGAGTCCCGGGCCGCCGCGACCTCCCTGACGCAAAGCAGGAAGATCAAGGCCTCAATGCACTCTCCCTCTCACACTCGCTCATTCGAAAGAGGAGATGAGTCTCTTGCTTCGTTCATCCGTTATATGAAAACCCTCTGCTCTCTGCTACGTCTGCTATGTCATTCTGGCTCTTTCCGGCTCTTTCCGGCTCTTTCCGGCTGTCCAGGAGCCGCTGCCAGGTTTTGATGTTCACGCCGGTGCCCGCGGGCCATGGCACAGAAGGATCAGAACTACGTCAGAACTTCGTACAGGGAAGTACTTGGGAGACCACAGCTGCCACAGAATCCGCGAATCTCTCACAAGGGGCAGGATTCGCCACGCTGTGGCGGCAAGTTGGCGCGGAATTCCCTTTTTGCAACCGATGTTCTTGCACGTTGGGAGACGATGGCGGCTGTCACCTCAAGTGGCCCGAGTCTGGGAGAGGCTTGGCCCAGCGAATACGTTCTGTGGAGAGAGAGAGAGAGAGCGAAAAACTGTCTGAGCAGAGAGACATTGTGCGGCTTCGTTGTGAAAAAAACTGACAAAGGACAAGTTGAGACACGAAAGCTGCACTCGAGAGCAAAAGCACCGAGCTCGGGACTGATCGATTTGCCTCTCATACTTGAGGTTTTCAGCGCGACACAAAACACTGAGAAAATCCGACAATCCTCACAACCTGTGCAGATGCTCACAAAGGTCACAAAGACCCAGGCCCACACGTGCAGACATGACGAAGACGTGAGAGTTCGTGGTAAATATAATGTAAAACAACCTGACGCCCTCGCAAAGCTGGACCTCTGAACGCTTCAAATTTGAAATAAAGACCCTCTGAATTACTCCTGCAATACTCCCTCTAATACTCCCTCTGCACCCGAGATCTGAGGCGCGTGCTGCGGTGGAGCGCATGCGCCGGGCGTACAGGCAGAGCCGCGCCAAAGGGGCGCAGTGAACGCGGCCAAGGGGGCCCCCATCAGAAGGGGCCGATATTGTATCTATATTCTAGTGCACCAAGATTGCTGCCATCAGGCCCAGCAAACTT